CCCCCCCCCACCCCAACCCCGTGCAACGTCACCAGCATAGCACAACATAGCATCCAACCCAGTGTGCAACGTTAACCTATATGTGTGAAACGCAACGTCAAGATGCAACATAGACGCATACATATATATATGGGAAAGTGCACAAAAACATCCAAAACGCACGTACGGTTTTAGAGCCGTTAGCACAAACATGACTTCAGCATCCCTTATCGATCTGCAGAGGAAAGCTGTGGACCTGTGGGCAAACTGCCACCCTGTTCCATAAGCCAACTAACATCAACTATAACTGACTATAGATGCTGTAGGGAACTCATAGCTCCGAGCGGCTCCACGTTGAAAAGGAGAAGGTGGACCCCCCCAGTCGCCCGACCTTCGGAGCCCCAGGCTACATGCTTAGACTTGCTATCCGACCCTCACCAGGCGAACGGAGAACCCGATGAACCGGCAAACGGAGTCCGGTGAGTTTCGGAGTGAGAACCCTCCATCCGGGACCTGTGCCGATTTGGCCTCCCCCGCAATGCAGCCCGAGCATCCATCCAGAAAACACCATTGTCCTTGATGCCTACCTTGTGTCCCGTGGCCTTGGCTGTGACATTTCAAGAAACATCGCAGGGTTGCAAATGAGTTGGAACAACACAACACACGGCTGTATTATTATAGTCATCGTCGGGAAACATGCGGAAAACATGCAATGTGAGAGTTCTGCTGGCATGAACAGCTGGTTGAGCCAGATCTTTGAGTCACCAATAAATCGAAAACACCAAGAAGCACAAAACACCTTTGTTTAACACCTGAATAGTTGCGCGGGGTTGTAATAATACGTAATAATAACACAATCTTCTCTCCCTGGTGGTTGCTTTATCTGAGCTGAGTTGTCTATTGTCAGCTATTGCTTCCTTTTAACATCCTTGCTCAACCTCTTCTGAGGGTTTACCTGGAACTCTGACCTGAAAACATATTAATATTGCTCTTACACTAGTGTCACTACTGCTAGTCGAGTCTAGTACTGTGAGTACTACTAGCTAGCACTGCTATCACTATTACTATTACTGCTACAGCTACAGCTACTGCTGCTACTGCTACGGCTACTGTCACTACAACGACGACTACTACTACCACCACAACTACAACCACTACGAGTACTACTAACTCCCTGGAATTCTTGGTATCCAGATTTTACTCCCTCAATCGTTTGCTAGGGGGGGGTTCTAGTTTAAGATCGCGCACGACACGCAACAATAAGGCCATGCAAGAATGGCTGGGAGGTGTATTACACATCCACGACGGCCATTTGGATCATTTGGATGACTTGGCACTATGACAAAGCCTTGAGCATACAAACTTTGTTGATGGACTCTTCTTGCATTGAACACCCTTCGGTGTGAGACTTGAACTTCACACCCACACGGATAACGCACACATGTTTGTATCTTGACACTGGCAAACAGTGACGGCGTAAGGATAGCCGGATAGCCCAGTGATGGGGTTGTCTCACTCCGACTCATATGGAAGTGATTGTTTCGGTTTTGCGGCCCTCTACAATGTGCACTGGTGGTGTTCCTCTTCCAAATCTGACGGCGCGGCGAAACCCGCACAAACTTCCCGGTTGGTGCGAAACTCAGGCACGTCAAGCACATGATCTGACGAATTGAGATCTGTTTCAGTCAATGGCCAAGGACCTTGATGGTGTATTCTCCCTGAGTGCAAGGGTGGGAACTGATTATCTCCTATACTCTTCCATAGGCTCATGCAAACCCTATGCTGCCCTATGCTGCTTTTTTGTCCGAGGTGCTTCCAGAGCTTCCGGGTACTTGTTCCAGGTCTCCCAATCATCATCATGGAAGCGGCCAAACCATTCGTTGGTTGCATGAGGATTACCTCAAACGGAGCCAATGCATCACTCTTCATTCGAATCTGGGGCTGGAGACGTGGAGATGGAATACGGTTGAAACCTTTCAAACATATTGTATAGGGTTACCCCTGAAACATGACCGTCCACCTTCCATCTTGTGGCATCGGGGCATCATGTTTTTTGAGTGCATCCATGGAGAACTCACTGCCCAGCCTAGGCCCCTCAGCATCCTCAGCCTCTCAAAAATTACAACCCCTGAACCTGGAGTGGCAGTAGTTTGGAGTATCGCAATCCAGCTTCTTGTGAATGCTGTGGCTACGTTGATGCGACGTTTCAGCTCTCCTCTGTAGTCCATGTAAAAAAGACTAAAAAAGGATGTAAGGATGGTGCATGGACGGTGTCTTGGTGCTGACGAGCACCAAGAGATGGCTTAAAGCTACCCCATTGACACCAAGTTGCGCACGTGAATCAACCTGAGCACATTCTGCTGGCCTTCGCGGGTATAAGGCACGTCCTCCATCCGAAGAAGCGTATAGGCCTTGTTTCGGCGCAGCTACCAAACGGGCAGATTAGTAGGTGCTTCAACACAGTGCACCCATCCTCTCTTTTTTCGAAAGGGACATGCAAACTCATGTCCACAGTCCAAGACCGATCGACCAAGGGCTTCTTGGGACGCGGGGACCAATACCCAGGACTGGGTGACAACTGAATAGCCTGCTGATTAGATACTGACTAATTAGTCACTCTCCCTCAAAATACACATTATGCATCATTATGCCACATCCACGATGCATCTCGGGCCTGGATAATCTGGATATGTAACCCATCGCTGCACTCAGAATCACATCCACATAATGGATGTCCACATCAATAGCACGTTTTGATGAATCGCTTCCATCGCTGATTTCTCACCATTCTCCGAACGCCCGACCTGTGTGACGTTCCGCGTGGCTTCCATCGCTCGATCTGGCTCCCCCGTGGGTCCGTGCCAGAGTGCCCACACATCCGAGAGGCGTGGTTCGCCAAAATGCCCTTGTAGTTCTGCCGGGTGTTGCAGGCCTAGATGTGACAGTGGGTCAGTTCGATACGTGGATCAGTGAACGCGACGTGACGACGTGGGATTGAAATGGAGTGAGTCGCGTATAGAAGGCGGGATAGTGGGTGTTCCCATGCGGCCGATCGAGATATGGTGCATCCTACGCCCCTACGCAACTATTTGAGACATACCCGAGCTCAAAACTAGCCAAATTTCAATATCGACTGAAAACAGGGGATCAATACGTTCCATCCAGGCACGGATTTGAAGTCTTACCCGTCTTACCCAAATGACCCCAGACTTTTAAGACCTGTTCATGGTTCATCGACCAAACAAAATTGAACATGTGCTCAAACATCTGAAAAAAGACGCTAAGTAGTCCTTTCATGGATTTTGGATATGGACATATAAGGACTGAGGATCGAAGAATGAGATCAGCTGTGCTGAATGTGACGAAAGTGACGGTCAGGTGACGTCGGCTGATACTGGGTGATCCCTGTGTTTCGAGAAACAAAACGACTTGGATTTGTTGGGTGCGACTCGGCCCATGAGAAACAACTTTACCTACTGGTCTCTAGAGTATTCTATAGCTACATATCCTGCATGAGCTACCCACCTGGCAAAGATCCCTCCAAGAGTGGTATCGACAATGCAAAAGGCTGAGTGTAGCTCGGGTTGCTCCAAAGCAAGGTACCTGTGGGTCATTTGGGGTGTATCCTTCATGATTCAGCTACATTCCCTGGAATCAAATACGTGGTTTTCCACTTCCACGACGATTCCAGGGAGTGTAACTGACAATCCTTGTTCTGTTTTCTCTCTCTCTCTCTCTGTTTGCTCCATGTGGGCCCCAAAACCGTGTGCCCCGAAAAGGACCTCCCCTCGCTCCGCAAGCTCGGCTCTCGGCCGGACAACGGATCTCCAAGGCACCAGCGCTTGGCCTTCCTGGTTCCAGGCTTTCAGCTTATCCTGCGCTGAGCTGAAGTAGCGCTGAGCTGACGTTCGATCTCGTTCAAACGCGCCGTTGGTTCCCGCGCCGTTGGTTCGGCGGCTGAAACGTGGAACAAGGCGCTGGCGGAGGCGTTTTCGTTTCACGCCATGCGTTTCGGGACGTGGAAATAGCACCGAAAAGCCCAACTCGAGTGCCGGGGGTTCCAGTGACCGGGGGTTGAAGCCGCAATCCTGCCCAAAAGGATTGAGGATGACTTTTTGAAGATTCTCGCTATCTGACAGCTCATGAGATTGATTGCATTTGATTACTGCTCAAACCTTTCTTGGCCGAGGTGCCCAAAGCCACTCGTCGCTCAGCTCGGTCTCCCCGTCGGTGAAGGACGAAGCGTCCTGGCAGCACGGGCCCGCCGTTCACCAACCCCCACAGATGGTCGTGAAAAAACTGCTCCGGGTACCGGGTGTAGATACTTTGTACACTTATATACTTGGTACTTCGTTGTGCACTTAAGCCTTGCAACAACTATATGCCGAAAACCGAGTTGGAACATGTTACGAACTCACCATTGCAACTGCAAAGAGCTATCAAGTGTAACTCAGTACACTCCCTGGAAATATCATGGAAGTGGAACATGGCCCCTTGGATGACAATCTTCCGGTGGTGTTTTACTTCCATGATACTTCCAACAATATTCCAATCTAAACAACCCCACATAGGCAATAAGGCAGTGCAAAGGTCAAAGCAGTTCGGTCAAATTTAGGTCCGCGGTCTGCAAATATGCCATAGCGTGATAACCACTTGGTTTCACTTAGTTCTCTTTCAGGGGGTCTTTGGGTGGTCACCCGCCGATTTCTATCTACACACCCATTTGCATCCATTGCTCTACCTGATCCTGTCAGGAGAAAAAAAGAAAAGCACAAGCACATCCCAACACCACCAAAAGTCAGCTGCCCTTTTTCTCCCGTGGAGCTGACCCAAATCCCGGACCCAATGTCTCCCGCTCGGCTCGGCTCGTACCGGTCCTGACTCCAATATCCCCAGTCAGCATCGTAGCTCTCGACTCGCATGGCCACAGTGGCATGCACCGCCGAGGCCTCATCTTTCCCACAGCGGAAGGCATAGGGTGCGTGCGTGCCTCAGGCAGCGGAAGAAGCAGTGGAGGGAGGACATTGCGGCTGAGCAGTGCCGCGGGAGTCGTAGGGATTTTGGTCCGAATCTGAACTGACTGGGACCCTTTATTTACTTTATGGATGAAGTCGAAGTGTATGTCACAGCATGACTTCATCCTCAACCTCTTGGCTCCGGCCGTGGGCCCCGTCATTTCTCCAACCCCATCCCTCAACTGCCTCGCTCAACTGCATTCGTTCCACCGAATCCGCCCGAAGGATCCGCCTCCGAGATCCGGGGAGATCTGAATGCACAGCGAAGGCTTCCCCGTCAGCATTTCCAAGGCCACCGACTCCCAGCCGCCATCGATGCCTGAGGAAGCGGAACGAGTCAAAAAAGGAACGGGCAGAAGCGGCATCGATGGGAGGCCGTAGCAGGGAACCTGGTCCGTGTTCGTGGTACAGTAACGAATTTTAGATGTATGGATCATGCAAAACTCGGAAGGGATTTGCCTGGAGATATATAAACAGTGGGAGTGACAGGCACTTGCTGGATGATGAGGTCAGGCATCCTAAGGATTCCTTTGGCACTTTTAAAGGCTACAGTATATAATAGTGCTGCTATAAGTGCAGGCTATATATAGCTGCAGCCACTTCGCTTGACTGCAAAATGTAACCGATCCCTCAACAACATTTCGCTTAAAATTCACCCAGTCACCTAGTAGGTATAGACGGAATTTTCTCCTTTCCAATGGAGATGATATTCCTCCACAGCCTTGTCATTGACCTTCTACTTGGACACTCATTCCCAAACGCGCCGAGCATCGGTGGTAGGACTTCACAAACTTGGCCACGGCCTAGACAGGGGCTTCACTGGACTGGCGGAACAAGCCTAGACGAAACCAAAAAGGAGCTTCGAAGATGATGGTGACTCCAAGTTCCAGATCGTGTCTCCTAAATTCTCCCGGCAAATCAGGCTCTAACCAGGGTCTTCCTGTGAACCACGGCTGCCCTTTCGTGAGAGTCAGCGAATTCATCGGACTCATCAGGGATTCCACGGCCACAAGATGGCACCATCTGTAACAAGGTTGACACTTGACACTTTCGAGCATTTCCAAGTACCAACAAGTACCGACAGGAACAAGTCAGATATCCAACTTCTTTGGGTTGCCACATGTTCTATTATATATTCATTGAGGATTTGTGTGAGTAAAACGACAACCTACTATATAAATATGTGTTTGTGTTATGCCTAGGTGCCTATGTTTGCTAGGTGAACAGGAAGCAAAAGGCGGTTGCAAGCTGAAACAACAAGAATTCACTATCAAACCACATGCAAACTCTGATCGGCCCGGATCGGCAGTGAATCCGACCCACCCTCTTGCAATGCATTTGTTGGGATGCATAAGGAAATGGTTCCAATGGAAAATGGATGAAAATGGCAAGAGTCCCGGACGCTTCGTCGCCATGCCCAACTGCACATCTGCAGGTTGAATAAGGGTCCGAACAGCCCAACGGCACAGCCCATGTCGCCGCTCAAACAACTCATGTCGCCGCTCAAACAACTCCGCCACCAACCGCTTTGAAAGATCTGTATGTGCCGCATGGACCGCATGAAAATGCATGAAAAGCTCGTGTTCGTGCAGAAACCTCCTCTCAAAAAAACCACCTCATGTTGATCACCCCCCCTGAAATGATAAAAGACACCTTGCCAATCCCATCACCCAAACATCTCGGGCCTTTTCCAACAAACACGGCCAAAACTCGTTCTCCTTCGTGGGCTTTGCCTTGGCGGGCGGGTAGACCCGAAGCGCCCCCCTGGTGGGAGGGGCAGAGCCTTCCAAAGGGCAAATCAACACATCAAGTGCGTTCCATTGCCATGGTTTGTCATCTTTGTCGCATGAAGGCCATCAGTCTTTAATTAGTGAAAGGCGTCACATGGCACCAGCCCGGCTTGACACCGTCCGGGGCCAAGCTGCAAGCCTGCATGCCGATTTCTCCGCTGAGGCTCCCCACAAAGCAAAGGTTCCCATGCTTCCCCGGTCGTTTCCAGAAAGGCAACCGATCATCAATGGTGATGACCTTCCACTCCTGGGGACGATCTCTTCGGGTGTATGACTCCATAACACGCGGTTCGCTTGGTGGGTCTTGGTGAGCAACACGTGGTTTACCTCGAGTAGGTTGCATGTGACATCCGTGAGCTACCTCACTGCCTACTGGGCACTATAGGAAGCAATCCAAACAGCTCAACGCATGGATCAACTGGATCCCTCCACCCATGGCCAGGTTGCACTCATACGGTCTTCTCAGGGCAGATTCAATGGCCAGGGCAGATTCGAACCTGATCTCCCCACCTCATCCGGTCTCAGAACCCCCCCAAAAAACCTGTCCAAGTTTCCTCAGTGATGGGGGGAGGCCCACCCTTCACACCCAATGTTCAATGACTTGACACCACCCAATCCCTATAGTGTAGACTCTTGATTCATACACACCCCATATGAAGAGGTGTTTCAATCCAAATGCTGTGGGTTTATTCCTCAAAAGCCTAATTACATGATTTCAACAGCCCCCCTCCGGGTTTCGCCGAACGTTCGCCTCGGACTGGGGATCATAAAGCCGCACGTCGTAGCGCCCATCGGCCGTCAGCTCGTGCTGCTTGAAGAGCGAGCGGATACGGTCGGGATACCTGTGGCCGTCAGCCCGGGGAGGTTCACCACCCTGCGGCGAAAAATCCTTTTGGGGGAACAGGTATGGGTCCTACAGGTATGGTCTGGAATCTGGAATGGACTGGTATGTGACATGTTAAGCTCACATTGAAAGTGCCATGAGAATTGAATTAAATTCTTATTGTTACTAGTAGTAAGGCACTTGTTCCTAGTAGCTTCTTGTTACTACTAGTAAGGCACTTGTTACTACTAGCGTGGCACTTGTTACTAGTAGCTTCCTATACTAGAATGGCGGTTCGTGTTGGGGCCGTGCGTTTCTGGGGGCGTGGGGGATCTCGATAAAGCGCCATGACAAATGCCATACAATTCCCAGACACTCCATGTATGCAACATATGCCTACATTGACCCCCAAAACCACCCCAATGTAGGCATATACTGTAATATGGCATACATGGAGTGTCTGGGATTGCGGCAAGGCTGCCGTCCCATGAAATGGTGTCACCGGACCCCACTGGGCATCGCCCTTTCCAGGAGTTTCCTTCGTCAAAGTGTGTCAATCTCCCGTGGCTCTACTAAGCAAAGGATTTGAATGTATAGGTTATTTTCTCATACAGTAGCCCAACCTGTAGTTCTATAAGATGCCTATGGTTGACAAATGATTGGAATGGAAAACAAGCACGCCTATATATGTGTTTTTGGCTATGTTCACAAAAGTTTTTTCCACGCTAGTCATTCTCACATAGCGTTGTCGAGAAAAAAGAACTTGCGTTCTCGAAATGTGCTCTGGTTGACCCGCCCACCAGGACCACGTGAACCAGCATCTGACGCAACTTGGTGCTGAAATGGCACTTCAAGCGCGTGGGGAAGTACAACTCACATGCAAGGTCATGCATATCGAGCTATCTACCCCAAGTTCTAGGGTGCCAAATCACAAGTTGGAAGGTCCAAGCCCAAAACATGAAAATGCATTCTAGGTGAGCAGGTATGATGCTGGAATTTATGCCAAATGCTGAAGGATACTACCGGCATTCGTAATATGGTGCAGAATCCTAGCTACCACATCACATTCCCCCCCTACATACAATGACAAACAGTTTGTTTGCTTGACATGTTCAGTTCAGGAGCTTCCTGCATGCACTCTCCGCTATTGTGACTCCCTCAGTAAGGACAACTGAGAGAATTCCTCCAGCTGTGTGACAACTAGACCAAATGCAGCTGGGGGTCCCCCTATTAAAATACACAACAATATCTTTGCGCGGATGGCGCTCCAGCTGCCGCTGAGCTGTTGAAGGCTACGGAATGCTACGGCTATGGTGGCCAATGCTCAGCTGTCGGGGAGGGTGTTTGGGAGGTCTCCCTATTTGAACCCTCGCCCCACACACCCATACTTCAACTACACCAGGGTGCTCGGCGACTGCTGAAAAGGAGGACACCATCCAGCCTGGCTGCCAGCATCGGTTGTCATTGTGGCTGGACATGAATCCCAAGTGTAGCGAAAGGGGATGGAGCGGTTGCAGGAAGAAAGCAAAACATGGAGTAGACTTCGACTCACTAACATGTAAGTGGAACATGGCACTTGGAAAAGGCAATTTTTCGCTACAAACACTCTTGCACTTCGCTAGCGTGTCAGTGTGTCACAGGGTGCTAAGTTTTGGCACTGTGGGTCAGGGCAATCGGAAAGCAATGAAGTGTTCGGCAAATGAGCACTTGAAACAATCTTGTGCATATCCCATTACCAGTAGCAGTGGCTGATTGTTAGTAAAAAATGCGAAAGGCCGTTTAACAAAAAAGCACACACTTTCAAACAAGCAAGATCCTTTTTTATCGACTGTTTACTGGCAATGGCACACACCCTATAGAATGCTTAGACGCGAACCCCAACACCGCCCGTCTGGGCACGGTTTGCTCCGCCCGTCTGGCTTCCCGGTGCCTGGGAAGAATGGGGATCCTGTAGATGTTTTGACTAGTCAAAGGCTCCCATATGGAGATGTAAAACGATGTAACAACATGTAACAAAAACTACTGGAGATGTAAAACGTGGTCTACCATGTTCATGCTTTAAAGTTTAACTGTTGAACTTTGTTAAGCCATTCTGGTATGGGAGGATCGGCAAACTAATGTCAATGGCCAGTTTCCAATGCTCGCCGAGCAGCAATCTCCAAGGTAGCCTTGCTCGATATCCCGCGGTGAGGCGTGCCTCCAAAACGCGATGGATCGCAAGGGTCATGGGAAGACATTGGAAGACCAATGTTCACCAGGAATTTTTCCAGCACATTTGCCCTACCCTGAATACACTCCCCGAAACAATCATGGAAGTGGAATGTAGGCCCCTGGAAAATTATGTTCCTCTACAAGGGGGTCCGGGTCAATGAATGTTGGAGGGAGGGTTTTAGCAAAATGAAACACCCAACTTCGGACACACCTCCATCTCTCGTACGCTTCAAACATCGAGCGTGTGGTGCACAAAGACCACCTCTGATAAGCCCCTCAATTCTACAAATGCCCATGGAGCACGTAGGTTCCCATCCATCTGGGCGCTTCGTCGCGAGTGTCCGGATACAAGGTATACACAGGCGCGGAATGCAGTATGGTCTACAACATCCAGTGTATATCACTGCCTGATCCCAACTGCAATTGCATCAAACATCAAAGAAACATCAACGCACTCATCAACCTGACAAACCTGGATCCCGATCTGCGGTCCTCCTCCTTCTGGGTGAAAAAGGACCAAACATTCGACCCGCAGCCACCTCTGTTCAGACCTGGTTCCGCGGCCCAATCCTCCCGGGCCCCGACTTCGCCCCGACTTCGCCGAGAGCAATTCGTCCAAAGGACTTGAACAAGCATGGCTCGCCCTCGCTGGCGAAGAGCTTGTACCTGGCGTGGACCCTATCCGCGAGGTACAAGAAGTCACCCACCCTGAGGTATACGGCTGATGAATGCCCAGCACAAGTGTGACATTCGTAGACATTCTTAGTTTGATGCACCCGCTATTCGGCAAACATGGCACAACATCATGCTCATTCAACAATGAGTACTGATCCAAGGTACTCAAAGGCTTCTTTGCCAATGACCTGGCGTAGCCAAGCTCGACCGGTGGGGTGATGTAGCAAATGAGGTTTGGTGTCCACGAAGGGGTGGTTTCCAAGAAACATTGATCCTGGCAGGATGGCTTATAAACATAGAATCCGTTTACATGATGTTCATCGTGTTTCGTTTGGGTTTCTTGTGAGATTGCGCGTTGACTCAGCTTGACCAACAGGGCTCGAAACCGCCAAACTGCGCACATCAGCAGCCTGGCGCGGCCGTGCCCAGCCAGGCACCACGTACTTCATCATGTCCTGCCCGCGTGGCCCATGCGTGTGCCAAGTGCCGCAGCGGTGAGGCCAGAAAACCACCACAACCACCACGGCCCAATGCTGGCCTCAACATGGGACGTGGGATGTGGTGGGTGAATTCCAAGTCTTGAACATCAGCAACACCAAAGACCTCACACGTTTGCGACCCACCAAAGACCTATGATGAACAAATACTGAGACTTGTCCATTCAAAAAAGAGCAAAGACTGAGACCGATGATGTTCTGCGATGTTGACCTATGATAGTGCACGGTTGCTTGCGGACGTGCGGTTCGCCAAATTTTCGTCTGCTCTATTCTGCTCTATATCATCTATCTCTCCATCTCCCTTGCCCAGAGGCGTCCATGTTTCCATGTTGCTTACAGTAATGTTCCCCAATGTCGTCGCAGGATTAAGTCACCCTCACTCTTGTTCTTCCAACGTTCCTCTGACGGCTTCTTGTCCTTTGAAGTGACCAACAATGAATAAAGGACACATGGTCACAGGACACATGGTCACATGGTCTTCCTTTTTGGCCAATTGTTCCAAGCTCTTTGACCTGTCTGAACCCCATTACTGGGTTGACCGGGTACCACTGCGTTCGACCTTTTGCGGAACAGCGCCACCGGCAAGATATTAAGCAAAACAAAACAAGCAACAAGAAGCAACAAGCAAGAACTAGAACCAAGAACAACAGGTAAAACCACAAGTAAAAGCAACAACCAACAAGAACAAAAACACAAGAACACAAACAAGCAAGCAAGCAAGCAGGCAAGCAGGCAAGCAGGCAAGCAGGCAAGCAGGCAAGCAGGCAGGCAGGCAGGCAGGCAGGCAGGCAGGCAAGCAAGCAAGCAAGCAAGCAAGCAACAAACATTCAATTAAGCAACAACAACAACAACAACAAGAACAACAACAGGAAACCAAAACAACCGAGTAATCAACCGATTAATGGTTAAACATTTTAAATATAGATCGAGCTCTTTAAATCCCCTCTTCTGGTGGGTTAGAGTGAAACAACTGAGTGGGTCGAAGTGTTGGACGAAAACGCGAAACCACCGGGCTTTGCGCCGTGCTTTTTGCTTTCGGGTCGGTCCTTGAGGTAGTCAGCTAAGGGGTTGGCATTGTCGCCTCCGGGCGCGGCACGACGCGCGGCACGGCGCGAAGCATCTTGTTGAAGGGTTGAGGTGAGGGGGGGCTCTGGCTGACCAGAGCACGGAATAGCAAAGTCCAAGAGAAACGGAAAACATCCAGGCATAGCGGCATAGCAGTTTCAACATCTACTTTCAATGATGCAATAATGGATGCAAATGGCACAAAGACATGTAGTTGCAGTAGTTGCGGGTCAGAGTCGCCTGGTAAGAACGGCTTGTTGACTCGATGGTCCGATGTGAACACAAGGAGCTTGAAGTTTTGGATGTTGACAAAAACTGGCCAATACATACAAATACCGTCAAAATACCCAATGCATCTTCAACTGGTGGCAGCTGGTGGCTGTTGGCTTTCTGCCTGTGACACCTCCAATGCTCTCGTTGGTGGCTGGGAACTCTGCATCCTCAAACAAGCCTCACACGGCGCAGCGTTGAAGCGCAGCGTTGAGGTCACAAGCCGAACCCTTCCACTGCCTGAAACGCCCAAAGCTGACGTGAACGCATGTCTGGACTGGGGGACTCCCTTCCCGCCCCCTGGATGGATTGTTTTAGCCCTGAAGATATGTGTGAAGCTATAGACTACAGACTATATATAGAATCTTCCCTTATGGAAACCACAATCATCTCCCTCAACAGTCATATGCAGGACATTCTGGGCTCCACGAACATGCTTGCTCAAAGGAAATGGCGTTTGGGAACCACTGACTCATTGAAGCAAAATGCATTTCCCAGCCATGGCGGTTGGTTAAGCATGGTCAAGTTCTGTCCTCGCGAGACATAGTTCCTCCCCAAAGATCCACGTCCTCTCTTTGGTCCATCTCATTTGTGCTTCTTCTCCAAGATGCCTTTTGGCAGTTTGCTGGCTTTCTTGCTTCCCTTGAAGTCGTGCTCCTGAATCCAATGTATTTTACAACAAAAACGGTCAAGCTCACTGCTCAGCTCTGTCATTGGTCAATCCGGTGAACTTCAAGCCCCTCACGCCTTCACCTATATTATATTACATTATTATATTATTGTTGATTCGGAAAAAATCAAATGGGTTGCTTGTAGTCACATCCTGTGAGTGGATGTGACTACAGGGTACGAGCACTCCTATCCTCCAAGTTCGGCCCTTTTCCTCCATGATTCCATGGAGCTACTATACAGGTCATAAAATAGAGCCACATTCCCAACTTAATACCAGTATCTAAGAGCTGGTATTGCTGTTAGTAACAGTGACCGGTCATTTTCAGACCTCCAACACCGATTCGCAGGTCACGAGTGAGGCCTATTTGTTGCGGGAAAACCGTCCGAAGATTTCTCGGGAAAACTCGTCCGGTGCGAGCGAGAAAAGAACAAGAGAGAATAGGTATTCAAGAAACATGCAGCATTGGTTTCACAAAATGCCGAAACACACATGTAGATTTAGCATGATTTAGCTAGTCATGTGCTCTGCAATGGAACTGGTATCATATCAATGTGTTGCCTCTATGATATATGTGATCGATTGCTTGCAAGATTGAATAGGGTTCTTGCTGAAAAGTGAACGTCACACAGGGTGACATTGCGCCACACATCCGGTGTCGGTAGCCCGGTGTCGGGGTGACACCGCCCATTTGAATTGGAACATTCTCTTCATAAGGGGGGTTTATTATAATCAAAAATCTACATTAAGGCTGTTATGGGAAGTCCTGCGGAAGGACCCTGAGGAAGCTTTGGGTCGGATGGTCAGCTTCTCACACTGTCTAAAGGTTCTCAGCCCATGTGTGCCCAACTGGCATGAACAAATCAACCATTTCGGGGATAGGCGGGATAGCGGAGCTCCGTAACGTGAACCCCATCTGTGAATGAGGGTCATCTGCAGACCCAACGGTACAGCCCCCACCGCGTCCGACATCTCTCGAAGCGCGGTCCACCACTGGAGGCAAGCGTGGGGGTGGCCGAATGAAGGCCCTCTTCCTTGGGAATGCTTCGGAATGCGCATGCCAATCATCCAAACATGCTGCCAATGCACCCCACAAGGATCTGCAAAGGGTGGTCAAGGACGTCTATAAACATTCATCACTCTTTCGGTTCATTGTCTACTGCGTTAAGCCAACCGTTAAGTGGGGCAGTTTATCTTTGAAGTCATCCTTATCCCACCACCATTTATTCGTTGAGGGTCATGGTTTGAACTCTGCACTCTACACTCTACACCAAGACCATTTCATGGACCATGTCAGTGTTCAAGAAGGCTCCCTCTTGGATACGTACCCAAACTGCTCCCCTCAGGTTGGCTGTGCATCGAACATTCATCCCAACGAGCTCCAAACGGCTCGTCGTCCAAAGCTGAGCAAACATCGAACATCCCGTCAGCGGTCAGCATGAAGTCCTCCATGTAGTAGTTACCAAAATTGCTGTCCAGCATTCCAAAACCACCTTCTCTTTCTCAAACCTTGGGCAAAAAAAACGGCCCCTTTGCCAGGACTCCTGTCCATTCGATTCACCTTTGGGCCCATGGCAATCTCGGTCTTGAAGACCTGGACATCGTCCGCCATGAAGGTATGCAGGGAGGAGAAGACGAGGATGTTCAAAGCTGACCCTATGCAACATCAATCCCATGCTGTCGGTACACTCCATGATTCTTGTCATGGTTCCGTGGAACCATGGCCCCTTGGATGACGTTGTTTAACACGTTTTCTCTGCAAAGATGGTGCACTCATGTGCATTCCACTTCCTTTCTTTCAGGGCGCGGTTCGCCTCCTCAGCGACTACTCGGTCGACCGACTCGGTCGCATGGTTGACCACCCGACCACCGTATTCGGCAGGTAGGCACCCAAGAGTCGAATGTTGGTTCAAGCAAAGCATTCTTCCAACAAAGTGGTGTGGTTTTCTCGAATCAATGTATGTGTTTCTCAAGGAAACGAACATACAATGGATATATACATAGACCCTGACAATATCCCCCTGGTAAATGTGTCCTCTGACTTTACAAACGCATGGTTTTGAGGTTCCATGTTTAGTCTTCGGGGCGGTATGTTCTTGGCTGGATTCACTGGACCAACGTGTTTCTTTCATTTTCGCCATGTCCAGCCCTCGAGGCTGCCTGGATCTCACTGGTCTTGCCCTCCTCATCGGCCTTGCAGTTACCTCGGAAGACCCATCGACTTGGGATGAGTCGAAGCCCGACAGCCCGACGATGGATGGAGAAGTCGTCCTCACTCGTCCCCCGACCATGGCGGCCATGCAGGGGACAACAAAGCCTGGAAGCCACACCATCCCCCAAACGACAAGCTTTCATGCTTTGGGGTCACAAGTCCTGATGGACACCTCAATCTGCAGCGCCATCGTTGTTTTCACGATGGACATCCCTATTGCTCTGGCTGGATGCGCCATACACAGAGTGTCCGACGGATCGCTACACAGAGTTCCCAGCATGCCAGCGGATGATCAATAGAGACCGGATGACCAACAATAATACAAACACGTGCCACCCTCTTTCCATAAACATGTTAGCTAGTTGCACTATAGCTGCAGTTGCAATTGTGTGCTACCTAAAGTCGTGGTTCAATCGGGCTCATTTTTAACCACCCAGAGAAGACAACCAACTGGTCGTGAACGCCATCAATGACTGATACCGAACCGGTTGGCCAAGAATAGGGGGTGGCTGCCATGGCTGCCATCGTCATCACTACAACGATTCAATGGTATTCAATAATGGCAACCCCTGAATCCTACCCAAGCATCTGCTAACATAGGGTTTTATACCTCCTTGCTCACAATGTCCACCCCCCAGCTGCACTCAGCAAGTTGCAGTTCCCCATCGTCCGCTTCCGAACCGAACGAACTCAAATAACCACAGTGTAGCCGTCGGCTTGAGCCGGAACTGCGCCGGAATCAGTTGGGCCGTTCCCACGAACTGCGCGGCATTCCGGACATCCGGATGGCGTGGCAGCGTGGCACACACGACACCGACACCTGGGCCGTCAAGCGAGAAACCCAAGGTAGTTGTCCCATCTGGGCTTTGAAATCCCTTTTGGTGAGAAAAACGGCCGAGAACATGACTTTCTGCAAACCGGCATCTGCTCCACCGCAGCATGTGTCTTAGATCGGTGGCCAAACATGCACACGCTTGCCACGCCTGGTTGCGAAGCGCCTCGAGCCGCGCCTAGCTGGCGGGGGTTGCGTCCATCTGAGAAAATTCAGAGTCCTGGGATTCATAAACAAGTGTTGAAGTGTGGTTGGCATCTTGGTTTTTCAAAGGGTGAGGTTCCTGGACAAAATTGAACAAAAAACATGCCCATCACCTGTCGTATGATCAAAGTTAAACGGTGAAACATCAAGTCAAGACATATGTTTTAATACCAACAAGGTTCCCATGAGGAGTTGTGATCCTCTTGACAGGTGTCTGTGAAGGTTCCAAACATGACGCTGAAACACTCAGAATCCGGGGACCAACAAATGACCTCTGTAAAAGGAGACATCCAATCTCCGAGATCGGTGAGGTCTGGACACCTCAGAATCTGGGGTCCGACTTCCTTCCGCAGAATCTGGGGACCAACACTTCGAAACACCCCGTTGGGCCGGTTGGATGGGAAAACCGATTTGTCCTTCGGGTCCCATAACTTAAACTGACTTTTGGATGGGCGATGGATGAACGTTCGCCCTTGCGATTGCCCCAAATCTGGCGAGAGCGGCTCTTCGGCTCGCAATGCAACACATCGTCGATCATAAGGTTACACCTCCAACATCCCACCACGGAACAAGCACCAGACCCCAATAAGAGGAAGACGGTTGTCCTCATGTGTGCAAGAAATCAAGAGATCTCAATGAGGACCCGGTTCCGGAAAACAGTTGCCCTCTAGAAGCCCAAGCCCCGGCAGTTAAATAATCATGTTTCATCACCCAAACGCTCGATGTATGGTATATAATGTAGGCATATATGGCATACATGGAGCGTCTGGGTCATGGTTTTAAGTTTGAAGTACTACCCTGGCTGTTCGCGCCCTCCCAGTCAGAGCTGTTCCTGAAGCTGTTTTTTAAAGCCCTGACACAAAAAAAAAAAACACAACGCACCCGACCACCATCTTCAACCAACCACCAGCTGGTCTAGGAACGCCTATATCATCCAAGAAGCTTCATGTCAAGTAATTTGATGTCATGAAGTGTTCTTTGTTAAGTCATGATACATCGAATAAAAACGTTTCAAGTTGACTGATGACTGATCCGAATGATTGTTTTCAATGACTCAAATGTAACTACCAGTCACCCAGTGCTTCACAGACGTCTTCCTTGCTTCACATCTGCAGGCTGCAGAAGAACGGGTGACTAAATGGACCCCAAACACTCCATGTGTGGCATATTAACCTACATTCACCCCTTTTCAACCACCCCAATGTAAATAATGTATATAAATATGGCAGTCCCATGGAGTGGCTTGTTGACAATGACATCAAATGACATCACATGATGTCAACATATGTCAAAATTCTGCCTGATTTTGCAGCTGTAGCCTGAAAAAGAGCCGGTTGCCCCGGTTCGTGCCCCTATGCCTGGTAGCTGTGCTTGTAGCTATCCAGCTTGGTGATGTGTGGGCATAGAGAGCTGTTTCAATGATTCAATATATATATATATATATTTGGATTCCTCCAGCTCGGCGCTACGAGGTTGAAGACACGCCTCTCCCGCCAAACACCACCGCCGTCGCCCGTCCCCGAGACAAAACCACACGTGGAAAACGGGTCCCTCACCTGCAGCGCTTCGCGCAACGGGCCCACTCTCGAAGGCAAAGGGCGACTTCCCGGCACTCGAGGGGACTGCGCGGCACATGGAGGGATGGTCAACAAAAACCACATGGAGATTCAAACACCGGTTCAGAGTGGTTGGTGGCACGGTGTCCAATACATTCGAAGTGGGGATCTCCTGTGCTCACTTGCAAAGCGTCTTGGTGTGATGTAGACGGCTCGGTCCAACCAGACTGACCGGGCACGACCGACCCTGGTAACGTGGTGGTTGCTCGGGCTCCAGGTTTCTGACCTATCCCCATAGTTCTTGTTCGGTTTCCTTCTTCGGTTAGAGGCCACAGCTCGCTTTCAATGGAAAACTGTTTGAAATCCATGTCTCCAAAAAACAATGCCCTAGGGACTTAGGGATCCTTAGGGCCTTGGTGCGCCATGGGCCCTGAGATGCCCTGAGTCAATCAAGCCTAGTGAGTGGCTCAGTCGTGGCTTTCAGCTGGCCATAAGCGAGAAAGGTTTCATCAAATCATGACGGGCTAAAGGTTCAACACAGACTGTTCGAGAACCAATTAGGCCCACTGCCCACCTGATCCTCATCCTCTTCAATGTTCTCATCAACATCTTCTCCTGATGGATGCAGAGATGCCTAGAAAAATGTCCAACGATGAATGGGTATATGTCACTTAATCGTCATTTCATATTATCATTTCTACTTCCATCCTTCCCGGGCAAGAAGGAAACACACAGAAACCGTTGGTGGATCTCTTCTCTTGGTTTGTTCATCAAATGGAGGTGAATGTAATAACCAATAATTAATCAATTCAATATAAATCATATTAAAGTTTGTTAATCAGTAAATTTAAGGCAGGCACCATGCCAAGACACTCACCTAGCTCCTAGGTGTCTAGCCATGCCACGAGACAAACCAGGTTGAACATCACGTTCGTTCTATGTCCATTATACTTTTCATTATACTATGCTGGGATGTATTTCTCATAGTTGAATAGTTGTTTTGAAAAAAA